ACAGTGATTAACATGATATTTTTGCTGTAGACATTTTTGCCAGAAATATTTTCGCCATGTAACTAATTGGCCATAAGGCAATTTTGCCATAATAGATTAAAAAAATAGCTGGTTGAGGGTCCAGGCCAGTGGCGCAAGCGGTTAAGTGAGCCGTTAAGTGAGGCCGCTGCGGTGGCCTGGGGTTTGCCGGTTCGGATCCCCGGCGCGCACCAACACACCGCTTGTCAAGCCATGCTGTGGCAGCGTCACATATAAAGTGGAGGAAGATGGGCATGGATGTTAGCCCAGGGCCAATCTTCCTCAACAATAAAGAGGAGGATTGGCAGATGTTAGCACAGGGCTGATCTCCTCACAAAAAAAAAAAAATAGCTGGTTGACAGTTTGGTTTCATGAACTGGTTGAGAGTTTGGTTTCATTTCACCATTGATGCAGTACTCCCATTTTTATATTATATTAATGTTAGCCCTCATAACGGCCTAATACAGTGGTGCAAAGTTTTGAACTCACATTTCCCATAGAACTTTGGAATGTCTGTCAACTGATGTGGCAATATGCCAAGAACAAGCAACAGTGTAGAAGGCTTGGGCCGGTCCCATGGCTTAGCGGTTAAGTGTGAGTGTTCCGCTACTGGCGGCCCGGGTTCGGATCCCAGGCGCACACTCACGCTCCACCTCTCCAGTCATGCTGAGGCCGAGTCCCACATACAGCAACTAGAAGGATGTGCAACTATGACATACAACTATCTACTGGGGCTTTGGGGAAGAAAAAGGAAGAGGATTGGCAACAGATGTTAGCTCAGAGCCGGTCTTCCTCAGCAAAAAGAGGAGGATTAGCATGGATGTTAGCTCAGGGCTGATCTTCCTCACAAAAAATAAAAAAAAAAAAAAGAAGGCTTTCCCAACATAATACAAAGCTCAGTTACAAACAGGCATCCTAGTATTTGGAAATTGATACTTGTCTTAACGAAGGAAGAAATTTTACCAAAAAAAGAAAAAGTGTGATGCCGAATAAGGTGAAGAATCAACAAGCAAAAAAAAAGTATTTGGTCTCTTTGACTAATTACCAAAAAGCAACCAACTCAGCCAGCTCTACTTGTGAAACAAAGAAATAAAGGTTTACCTCTCTTAAAAAAAAAAAAATATATATATATATATATATATATATATATATATATAAAATACTATCAACAGAAGACTTCGAAGACAAATGCTTAGGTACAACCCACAAAATAAAATCAGTTATTTGCTAAGTATTACCATGAATCTAAACACATTTTAAATGTATTCAAATATTTTGTATTTTGCAATAGTCTTTTTAAGTTACTCATTTTTCATGTTTCATTATGTCCTTTTTAACGTACCTTTTTTTATTTTATCTTTCACAGCAAGATTGCCTTACGGCTGATTAGTTATTCAGTGAAAATGTTTGCAGCAAAAATGTTTGTGCCAAAAATGCTTGCAGCCAAAGTACCTAGAACTAATTCATACACCACTTCTTGAACCCGTAATTTTTATATACACTCATGACCCCAAAAACAAACAGCCAGAAAGGATTTTTGCTTATTTATTGTTCAATATGTTTGTTTTTAAATAAAATTTGCTGATAAAAAATAAATTTTAAAAGTTATTTTAAAATTTACAGAAAGCAAGAGAGAGATAAAATGTCCACTTACAAATTAAGTCAAATGTGCACAGTGAAGAATCACGTTGCCATCACTGCCGCCTCCCAAGGCCTACCACCCACACTGGCAAATAGAAATAGCTACTCAATCAGTGAGATAAAGAACTCTCTTAACAATGCCGAGAGATCCATGGCCATTTCCAAAAGCTTTAGGGGGCAGAATTGAAAGGATGAAAAAGAAAAAAGAAAGAAGAAAGGGAGTGATGAGTTTAAGTTGGGGGGGTACTGTGTACCAGTACCCTAGGTTAACACTCCTCTTCTAAGAGACTAGAGGACTTGACTCAGAGACATAGACTCATAGTCCATCTATACTGTAAAACGTGCTTGCTGTTCATTAGGCCTTAGCCTACCTACTCTGGGAAAAGCAAAGAGCCAGCCATCTTTCTACTTTTCTGCATATGCAAAACAGCAAGTCAGATGAATCCTGTAACTCATATCCTGGAGAATCAGAGTTAACGGTATGGGTGCTGGGAAATGGAGGGTTTAGGTCAGTTAGAAGCATAGTGCCCATGATTTATGATAGTATCTTGGGCCCTTATCCTCTCTTGGGTCACAATATTTGGCTTCAAATAAACAAGGTTATTATTAAAATGGGGGAGGAAAGACAGAAATCCTTGAATTCCACTTTAGTGAAATTCTATCATCTTTTAGAAGCAAATATTCTTTCTTAATCAAATCTCTTTAGCTCACCTAGAGGGAATGTCCTCTCAAAAAAGAAATTGACTATCCCATGCTCACAAGAGCATGGGTCCACTGCCTTATCATTGGGACTTGAGTATTACTCCAAAATAATGACATTGCTAATGTATTTTCTCTTTTACAGGCAATCTGAATGTTATTCCAATTCAATTATTGAAACTTTCCTGGTCATGTCAAAATGAAAAACTGTGTTTCAAGAGCCTCGATTTTTAAAATAGGCTCGAGCAGTCCGCTATTGTTGCAGCGTATTTCTGCCCAACTTTTCCAGCGTAGGAATGCTCGGTTTCTCTACTGCAAAAGGATTTACTGGGAGGTCACCCAATGACTCCCCATCTTGGGGGAATTACCTAAACACTGAACAAACAAACAAAACAAAAAAGAAAACTAGACACACAAAACCTCAGGCCTCGAATATGCAGTCATATCGTGTTCTCCCTCCTTTTCTAGCTCTCTCCTGCTCTGCTGTTTGTCCAGCACACGAACGACCTGCGTTATCATGCATTCTGTTTGCTCTACAGTAAACATGCAGCAAATTGCATACGTTTGATGATCTGAATAACAACAAAGATCTAATACATTCATTTCAAAATAAACAATTGTAAGTTTTTCCATTTACCCAAAACTGAGATCAGCAGCCTAATTTAAAACAAAACAAACAATGATTTGTTTTCCTCTGTGAGATTACAGTACTGGACCTAGCAATAAAACCTTTGCTTACCTACAAAATAAAGTATATCTGTGATCCAGGGCACCTTCAGAATGTTGGTTCAACTTTTAAAAAGTTAATATTTAGTATTTTTCAATCATGGCTTTCAAAAACTTTGGGGAAGCAAATCTTCTCTTTGGACTTTTCCCGTTTAACCCTCCACTGCAGACCATATTTCTTGCTAGCGTATGTCACCTGGCTGAGCAGACTCTCAGTCCACATCACGGAATGAAACAGTGTGGCTCCCTAGTGCAAATTTCCTGAGAGCCCCTTCCCTGAGCATGTGCCAAGAATCAAATCTTGGCCACTTAGTGCTCTGTGCTCCACATGTGAGCTCACGGCGCGTTGAGCAGCCGTGCTAACTGAGATGGATAGCCCTGTCAAACAGGAAGCTGGCACACCAGGATGCAAACAGTGGGATACAATGACCTTTACATTCAGAGAAAAATATCCCTAAAATGGCATGAAAAGTTTATGGGGGGGAAGATGGAGGGATTCTTTTATTTCACTTAGGCACATAGCATGAAATAAAAACAATGGTGCCCAGTACGCAATTTGCTCGGGATCAAATCCCGAATCCCTCACACGAGAAGAAAAGTCGTCGGAGAAAGGAAACGAATCACGCTTTATCACGCTGCTTTGAAAGCAACAGACTCCACGATTCAGCTGTATTACTGCACCCACACTGGCCAAGTGCTCAGATGCAGACTACACTTGGACTCTCGGTAATTCGAGGGGTACTACCTGTCCTGGGAAAACATTCGTGACCTCCTGGTCTCAGATGGGTTGCTTTCTTGGTAGAAGTAAGACATAATTTAAATATTTAATTAAAATATTTTTTAAAAAGTAATGATCTGCTTACAGAATCAGAGCCAAGAGCTCAGGAATTTAAATCTTATGTCCTTGGTCACCATATTTGTAATTTTGTATAAATTGCTTAATCTCTCACAGTTGCCTTATCTGAATAAATAGAGGCTCTGACTAATAGTTCTTAAGAATTATACGAAGAGGAAGTCATTAAAAAGGTAGGAAAAACCCCTGGCACATACACAAATGTTAAGTAAGGATAGTAATATAGGAAATTAATATATAAAACATGACCTGGAAGTCACATATTTCTCTCCTTTAGTTATAGCCATTATCAGAAAGTATGTAATTCAATCATTTCAGCGGAAAAACAAGGATAATCATTCCATTGGGTCAAAAAAAATTCTTTTCCATTCTTCAAGGTTTGGGGGTTATTTTTGTTGTTATTTGTTTTGTCAGTTCTTTGGCATGAAAGAACAATGGGCTATGCTTCAGAACGAAGCAACACAAGCTCACAATGGGCTCCCCAATGCTGTACAATACACACTCAAATAATGATGCAATTTAATATCTAATTAAATAGGTAAAAGGAATTGATCACAAAGACACTGAGATTTTTTTTTTAATGAATGGACTACATCAAAACTACAGAGCAGTTTTCAAAGATACAAAAGTATAGTAAGATGCATCCATTTTTTTCCATTTAATTAAAAGCTGCAGGCCCAACGCAATAAATAAACTTAGAAAACTGAAAGCTTATAAATCACGTATTAAAATTTGGATAAGTTAGGAGCCAAACATCTCAGTACCGGCTGTGAGAACACCAGTTTGGAAACTTAGAGAAAATAGTTATCAATGCAAAAAAACCTGTGATGATCACTTTGAAATGCAAGTTGATTCTGGTGGCTCTAGAGATGCTGGTCAAACGCTTCCCAAAGCAACCAGAAAAGACTCTGCAAGAAACCTTCTGTTGTTCACTGTTTGGGAAAGATGCTAAATCTGACCATTCTCCTCCAACCTCGTTTGGAGAACTATTTCAGGGAACACATTCTTTCTCAAACTATGACACACAAGAGGCACGGGGAGGAGAGGGCAGACGCATTAATACCTTGTGCCTGAGCTGCAGAGCTGTGGGAGTACCCCAGGGCCAGGAGCGCGGTCTCCACCAGCTGGCTAAAAAGCACGTCTTTTCGAACCAGGACAAACTCTGCATGTTCTTCTCTGTTGTCATATTCAAGAGAGCTATCCAACTGCTCCACCACACAAAAGACAGGAATCATCAAACCTGGAGGGACAAGATTCAAGAGCAAAACACAAACATTACAAAGCAAATCTCAGTCACCATGATGAGAAGGGAAGAGACAGTTATAAAAGTCACTCATCTGTGATCGACAGTGGTTTAGATTAAACAAGGCTATTAGTCAGATGGGCCTAATGGGAAAGCTGTGGATTTTTTCCCCTCCATTATTACTATCAGACTGCAGCAGAACTGCCTCAGGCAGTGGCAGAAGCCCTCAGATTCCAGTCATTAAAAAGTGGAGTGCACCAATCAGAAGTGTCCTGACTGAGAGACCTAAAGTTCATGGCTGGCACATAGGTGAGGTCAGGGTGACCTTCTAGACCCATGCATCCTTCGTGTCCATGGTTTTATCATTAATTCTTCATCAGAACTAGTATTTTCAGATCAGATCTACTTTTGTCTGAAAATGTAAGATACCTAGTAGGGAGGCATATTTGATTTCAGGGCCTAAGCTCATATTTGAATATGCACAAGAAAGCCAATAGGAATTTAAAAGAAGTCCCTCCTCTATCTTTTACTTTTCTAAATCCTGGAAAATAGGTCATCAATTAGCCTGAAAATACCCTGCCCAGGAAAGCCTTAACTGACATTTAACTTATGTCAAAATATATATCCAAATACAAAACTTTGTCTTTTTTTAAGTTATTATTTTATACATTAACATCAGTTACCACTGGAAAGGGACTATCTCTTCTTGTGTTTTCAGAGAAAAAAAGTAAACTACCCTAAAGAATAAAGCAAATTAGTCTAGTTGAAAATCTGTTGTCACCGAAATATTTTCTGCTTTGTATCAAAGTGTGAAAAGCTAAAAAATGTTTAATTCACCAAAGATGTTTTTATAAACCATTTTTTATTTAAAAAAAAAAAAAAGTCATACAGGCATTTAAATCTAAACATAGCCAAAGCATAAGAAGATCAAAGTTTTACCAACATGCAAGTAATAAACACGGACTCTGCCCTACGTAATTCACACAAATTAGTGTGTTATAGAATAAGGATCTGCTCCGGGTCTTCTCTTTGTGCAGGAAAAATCAAAAGTTATGAAGAATGAGTGGGCAGGCGGAGAGACGGGGGAGGTGGAGGGTTAGCGGGTCATAGTGAAGGCACTTCACAAGAAAAATATGACCTCTGTGTAAAACGACATATGGGAGCATGGACTCTGACATACAGAATGCACAGGAGTTTCTCTAGAAGCCCCTTGCTGTTGCCCAGACCCTAGAAGCCTGTGACTCACTCTGATCTGCAAAGCAGAGGGTGGGAGCAGACACTGCAAACTACCAGGTCACAGATTTAGATTCTTGTTCAAAAGATAACACAATGGTACAACTGGTTCCCACGTGCTAATTATTATTATTAAAGATAATAAGTATTGGGTGTAATTATTAAATATTATCATTATTAACAATAATAATACTTATTAAGAATTGTTATCATTAAAGATCATGGTAATTATTATTAAGCCTGCACAACACTCTAACAAGTCACACCATGCCATACCCGGGACAATTATTGACTCAGTGTTCACTCTTAAGAACAACAAACCAGCATTATTGTCTATAGCAAATACACTATCCATGGTATAGATTTACGGAAAACGGGAAGTAAGGGTGGAGCAGACTGTTTTAGACAAAGAAGAGAATTTAGCCCGGCCACGTGGTGCCTTACAAAATATTTTTTTTAATTGTGACCAGTAATGGCATATCAAATGCTTATTTATTTATGCCCAGCTTATTCACAAATGTATGTAAGACATGTAATGAATAATATAAATTAGGTTTCCTCTGCATTTTCTCTGTGGTCATTCATTTATCCAACTTCCATTCCCTAAACACCTACTATGTGCCAAGTATCCCCCGTGGCTGCAGGGATACAAGTGAGAACAAGTCTGACATGGCTCTCGCCCTCAGTGCAGGTGAAGGTGTTGTAAAATCTCCCTAAGCAGCCATAATGGCATTTTATAGGACCCATCTACGAGAGTCCTCCTCAGCAGGGAATAGCCTCCATTTAGACCCTTTAACTCACATACTGGTATATGATCTTTGTCCAAAGAAACAAGTTGATTTCTATTTTTAATGATTTAAGCGTATGCACACATAGGCCATGTAGTCAGTGGTGCCATAAGCTACTTCACCACTAATACCTATGTGTACATAATTTTCAATGCTGAAAATCCATGTGCAGTTTCTAATGTCAACATCGGAGTGTCACACATCTGGGAATCACAGATAAGACCTTTAAATGAATCCAGTTGCTCCATAAGCTATCACGTATCCATTACTTAGGAACCATAAATCTTTCTCAAGTCTATGGTCAACTGAAAAAACTTAAGACCCTATTAATTTTTAAAAATAATGTTAACAGTTCAATGAGTTAGATATGAAATATAACATTAAAGCACAGGGATCTACAACAGGTAGGGACTGATGTTTTGAAAGTGTCAATTACCGAAATATTTCCTTAAACATTTTAGTTCAGTGATTAAAGGAAGCAATTGTTATCTGACATGATAGCAATAACTCCTCATAGTAAAAAGCAAGCACCCATCCCTCAGAGGCATCAGCTACTTTTAAAAAAAGGGGGGGGGGGAGGACTTTGAGGCAATTTATAAAATAAAACAAAATTAACCAGAAGTGCTTGATAATAGAATTTGTTCTGAAAGCACATATATATGAGATACCAAAGAATATCATAAACAGGTTATATTTAACCCCTAGAAAAATGTATCTTTTTACTAGAATTTGATCTAAACAACTATGAAATTTTTACAATGAAATGCAATTTTTACAAAGAAGAACAACACAGGAAAAATGGATGCAATTCTAATGACAATGACAGGAGAAATGAAAAATAGTAAAATAATACAATTGAGGTCAAGTGTGGGGAATAAGAAAAAAAGGCATAGGTTTTAAAAGCCTTTAAAAACAGCAAATCCGTAGGAAAGAAAACTCGAAAAGGATGAGCAGAAATATGTATCAAAAAAAGATATTTACCCATTTGGTCCCCCCACTCTCTCCAGGCAAAAACAGAAAAAAAAAGAAAGAAAAAAAGTGACAATGGATGAAAAGATAGGGAGAAGTGTTTGGAAACACTTCAAAAAATAAATTAAGAATGGAAAGAATTAAAAGATAAGTTCCAATCAAAGAAGAGCAATGTAAAACTAAAATGCATTGACAACAAAATTTAGAAATGACCAAGTTTAAATAATCAAAGTGAGAAATGATCAAATGACCATGATCTAACCCTATATCTAGAGCTTATGGCATTATTTTTCTTTTATCGTAGCACAGACCCATTTCCAGATGATCAAGTAGAGAACTTTGAACCTTTTGATTATAAACCTCGCTAAGCCTTTTACAATTGTGGGAGGTAAGCAGGTAGTCTAATCTGGAGGACAGGCACAGAACCCCAGCCACTTGCTAAAAATTAAGAATTGTTCTGGCAGTTGGGGTAAACAGGGACGTTGTCATGGGGGCAAAATAAGCATGGGCCTGTCTTTACCAGGAAAATGCGTTTTTCCAACTGTCATTAGTTATGATGCTCAAATTGTCATTTTCATCATGACATTATTTCTGAAGAAGTGTGTGTGATCCTGAAGAGTTAACCTGATCTCCACCACTGCCGCCATGCGAACGAACAGAGACCCGTGGGGAGACGTTACCTGTGGCGAGGAGAAGCTCTGCGTCAGAAGGCAGGCAACTCTTGGATCAAATCCTGGCACAGTCACCCCTTACCTGGGGGGGTGACCTTGGTAATTTACTTGACCTCTCTGAGGCTCAAATTCCTCCTAGCTAAAATGCGAATTATAATATCTACCTCATAGAGCTGTTGTGAGGATTAAACAATGTAATATAATGTTGTCTGACAGCCCTCAAACAATAGAACGTTTTTGTTTTTCTTTTTTCAAAATCAGTATTAATACAATTTTACAGAGGAAAGAAAGAGATCAATAATTTTTTTCAGGATCTATAATCAATGCTCATCTTACTTACTAAAAGGCATTTCTTCAGAATATAAAAGATACTAATAATCACTGAATGGCCTACTTACTTAAGATGCAAATAACAATGGCTTTAAATGTTCAACGTGTCCCATAGCAAAACAGAAAAAGTGTGAAAAGCACCATATTTTATACTCTCAAACAGCCTGTCCAGCACAGCAGCCACTAGCCACATGTGGCTAGTCCTGAATTGAGATGCGCTTTAAGTGTGAAATACACACATGAGTTCCATGATTTAATACCAAAAAGGAAATAAAAGTAAATATATCATGAATAATTTTTAAAAACTAACCACATGTTGAAATAATATTTTGGATACATCGAGTTAAATAAAATATTATTATTAAAATTAATTTCACCTGTTTCATTTTTTTTTTAAACAAAGCTACTAGAAAATTTAAAATTATCCACATGGTTCTATTATATTTCTATCAGACAGAGCTGCTCTAAGCAACCTGCCAAACACCAGCATATACAACGGTTTTTCTGACACAGGATAAATCATCACAAACTGATAACAAGGACAATGTGCGATTGTCTTGAGCATTTCTTGGCTGCCCCTCCTTTATCTCTCCTCTGTGTTCCAGATCTTACGAGACATGAGGACAGATGTACTCTTGGTTAAACTCCAAAATCTAATGTGATATCTTCTCTGCATCATCCAGCAAATTCTAGGCTATTGTTTTATTCCTAACTATATTAATCTAACTTTTTCAGTAAGGGAAGGCTTTTTCCCCTCCCCTTCATTTGAAAGAACAATTACAGTTTTCAGGAAACGCCACAACAGTGGCACGAAAGTCACCTGAGAAGCAAGTATTCTTTAATACTCTGGACGTCGAACCTCAACAATGAAAGAGGAAAGAAGGTCCAGCAGCAGGGGGCCTCAAAGACGGGGTTCCACCGCCTTCCACAAAAGTTGGGACACAAAACAAACCTCTCGGGCCAGCCCCGTGGCTTAGCGGTTAAGTGCGCGCGCTCCGCTGCTGGC